TGCAGTTCCATTGTGCCATCATCGTAGACTCTGAGGAAAGGTTGGTTTTTAAAGGCTAATTCAAATGTGATGTAAGCCATTAGAGAAGATGGATAAGTTATGAAGATGTGTGAAACTTGAGGGTGTGAATGTGCCTATTAATATAGGAGCTTGCATTAACTCATTAGAAAACAAATAAAGAGAGATTCCATGGTTGACAATTGGTTGCCATGCAGTAACATCAAACAAATTAGCCGCTAGGTCATCATCCAGCAACATAAATTATGCAGCATCTTTAATTATGTTTTCCATATTTTAATTAATTTTTAGTTGCCCTTCAGTACTACAGTCTGGTGGTATTTCTCTTCACCTAGAGATGAGAGGTCTTAGGTTAGGTTCGAATCTCGTGGATGGTAAATTCGATACCAAATTAGGTTCCTTATTGTGTGGCTTCGCCGAACTCCTCCTTCCCTTAGTGTAAAAATATTAATGTACTCAAAAAAAAAAAGTTAATTAAAAGGACTATAAAGTTACTTTTGGAGCTCTCTAAAAATTGTACTCCAATCACACTCTCTGGTTAGAGTCATAATAATTGTGGACCAATAGGTGTTGAAATCCCACACCAGCTAAAGAAATAAAGAAAGAAGAGTTTAAATATTTTAACCCCACTTCAACTAATACCGATGCATTTTGTGATAAAACTCCACACCTGAAAGATTGTGCAGGTGGTAATTACCAAGTTGGGGACAATATCGGTATTGTTGGAAGTGGGCCCTTGGACCGTCTCTTTGATAATTCTACATGGTATTAGAGTCAGAGAGCGGGCTTGTACGTATTGCCACATGATGGGTGGGTCCTCTTGGCCCCGCGCGATAATGGTGGGTCTCTTGGCCCCACGTGTAGGGTGATTCTCCTCGGCTCCACATGGTTGCCAATGTGTGAATCTCCCACATGTGAACCACTAATTGGGTCCCACGTGAGAGGGAGTGTTGAAATCCAACATCGGCTAGAGAAATAAAGAAAGAATGGTCTAAATATCATGACCCCACTCCAACTAATACCTCATACCTGACGGATTATGCAGGTGGTAATTACCAAGTTGGGGACAGTATCGGTGTTGTTGGAAGTGGACCTTTGTCCTGTCTCTTTGTTAATTTTACAATAGGAATAGAGTTTTTATTTAAAATATTAGTAAGCAATGCTAGGAGCTTCTTTCTTACTCCCTAGATTTATGAGCTCTTAGGAGAATCCCGATCTTAGGAGGTGGACAGAGAGTGTCATTGTAGATGGCTTTTTCGAAATCCTCTCTAAAATTTAGCAAGAAGCTCATTTAAGAAGCCCATTGAGATCTTCTCACCCCTCAAAACTTTTTGTATATTCTTTTGGATTTATATCAAAAATAGTCTGTGACATTTGACTAAGCCATCAATTTCTTCTTTACATAGTAAATTTAACATAAATAGTCCTATCATTTTGTTTTTGGTTTTCAGCTTACGTGGGAAAAATGAGGGATATATATAGAATAATTGAGAAAGAATGGTGGATACATGTACAAAATAATGTATAATTAAAAAGCACACAAAATCAAAACTAACGTTCATATATTTTGGCACCATGTTTGCCTCAAAAGGTGAAAACGAAAAACTAAAAACGTAATGGCTATACTTTTGTGAGGTTTCAAATTTTGGCTTGGTTTTAATTTCCATTAACATTTTTTTGAACACTAAATTTGAAATGGTTACCAAACGGATCACCAAAATAATGCCCAAAACAGACGGTCTGCAATTCCAATGGAAAATAAAGGGATTGATTTTGGCTCAAAGGCTTGATCAAAATTTTAGTATGTTAATATTTTTGAATGTACTGATATTTAATACCTTGATAAAAAGATTTTGAATCACTCTATTGATTAGTGATGTACTTGATTTAGGGAATCATATTTTGCGGAATCTGGTTGAGAAAAGCCAAAACCCCCTTGAAAACACAAGCTTGATCAAATTTTTTTACTTTAAAAATTTACGATTGTTCTGGGGAGGGGTAGTCCAAACCCGGGACTTATGGGTAGAAACTCTACACTTTGTCTACTAAAATATTGGACCACATGCACAAATATGATCAATTCAAACAAGAAGTTTTGTTTTTATCCTACAAACTATCTTGAAATGATTGTTTAGACAAGAAAAGAAGCCAAACATTTGATCATTTTCTTAACATTCTCAATCTCAGTCTCAAGCTCACACAAGATTTTATAGCAATGACCCTCTCCTTCCACTTCAAACAGCCCCACTTCACCTTTCCGCCCTTTCTCCTTCACCTAATCGTAATAACAAACACCTCCACGATACCTCAGCTCATCCTTTCCAGCAACACACACAAGCAGCCGAGAGCACGTAAGCCCAGCCAAGCTCGGTGCACCCTCACCTGCCGGATTCACCATTTGATTATCTGGGGAAGAAAACTTTGTATGTGGACTTTGTCACCAAAAAGCTTTTAATGAAATTAAGCAGTATATGGCAGAACCTCCTGTTTTGATGCCACCAAGAAGGGGCCAACCTTTGAACTTGTATATTTTAGCTTCTGAAGGGTCTATAGGCCAAAGTGTGAAGCCTATATCCACTGAGAAAAAATATTACTCTACGAGCCAACGGTGATTGTTTTAACTCACAAACAGAGATAGCTAGGACTTGGCTTTCGAGATGATGAGTCAATATTTTACTATATATTTTACCATATTCTTAGTTATAATTTATTAGTTATTTTGGTGAGATTTTGATACTTTGATTTATATTTTTAATGTAGGATATTCAACTTCCTCTTGAGCATAAAGTAATCAAACGGATGAATTTTGGAGTAATTTCAATTCGAGGATGTTCATGAGTCTTCAAAGATGATTGTTTCAAAATTCTAAATTTTTCAACTAAGCCGTTTGACTACGGCGAAGAAAAGAAGACTTACCGGGCAGCTTTCCCAGATTGGCGTTTATAGACGTTTTGGTTATTTTAGAGATCAAGATGGCATATTTTGAGAAAGATTCTTTCTGAGGATTTGTTGGTGACAATTCAAAAGAGGATGAAAATCCTCTCCGGATCCTCTTTGCGAGAATCATAGGGATCCTCACATCTTAGCCATTTATCATACGTCGTGCGGCCAATTTTTATTAGATATTATTTATATTTAATTTTAAATAAAAAAATTCAAAATGATTTATGATACACGATGTATGATGATCGGCTAGAATGTGAGAATCCCTAAGATCTCTATAATTTGGATCCATATGAGATCCAAATCCTTCAAAAGAGACCTTTTGGTATCAAATCAGAGTTGATTTGGTTGGTCAAAAGTCTGATTTTCTCTACAGTCCAAATTTCAGTTTAAATAGAAAACCTTTTAATTGCTAATTTATTATTTTACTATGTTTCCTAGTTTTATTCTAAGACCTTTTCTAGGTATGATTTTATTTTGTATTAGTATAAGTAAGGATATTAGCCGTTAGGGAGCGACGCACTACTTTGGAGAATTCGGCTTAGAGAGCTATTGACAATTTAAGTTTATTTATAAGGTGTTTTCTATCCATATTCTTAATAATATTTTGTTTTATGATTGTTTGTAACTAATTGCTTTTGCTAGGGCAAGGTCACGAGCCTAAGCAAGAATATGTAGTTTATTTTCAATTTACTTGTGATATTATGCATGCATGTTTTGAATTATTAATCATCGCGTTTGAAACTATCTAATTGTCTTGATGATTGGCCACCATTAGAATATCTAGAAAAATAATTTGATGCAATTTTGGTTAGAAGGTTCTCTGAAATTGTCGATGGCTTCTTGTGGTTAATAATTGTAAGTTCACTTAGGATGAATACCACGTCTTAAGGGTTGCATGGTTTTTCAAAGTGTTTTCACAAAACTTAATAAGTCTTTCATGTTCATATTTGATTTGAACGTTCGGACATGTTGCATGTCAGATATACGTTCTATGTTGGACGTTCCAAGTATGACATACTTTAGAAAAACCTAACCTTCAAAATATGCATCGGTAATTCATAAGTGATTGGGAGAACTACATAGAACTATTAAGGTGACGGCGAAACTCTGGTGCTTTTACAATTTATTTATTTTTATGTAAAAAATAAAAATAAAAAATAAAACCCTTTTCTTTCAAATTGATTTTTGAATTATTTAATTGTTTTTATATAAAATTCGTTTTTAGTATTTTAAATTCCAAAATCAACATTTTCCAAACTTTAGTTTAACTAAGAGTTGGTTTTATATACAAATTATTCATTCAATCTCTGTGGAAAACAACCTTACTTGAGCTACAATACTACGATAAATTTGTACTCTTGTAAGTATTTTTAAGTGTTTTTATCCCTACTCATATCACGAGACCAAGCAGTTGTCAAGAAATGAGAAGGAGGATTCAATGCAAAACCCACCGGCATGGAAGTAGACCAAGATGGCAAGTTTTTGGGTTTGGTTTTGAGGAAGGTTTGGAAGGAGGTAAAGGCGAACAGAGATATTGGGGTTGTCTGAGATTGTGATATCTTTGGAGGAGACAGGTTTCTTGATTTGGAGATGGGGCACGTATGGAGAGCCCAAAAGCGTTCCATAAGTGTGCTCATTAATTTGGTGCTGGAAGACATTGGAGAGATTTTAGATAAAAGATAAAGAAAAAGTATGGAATTGAACGTGAATTTTGAGGCTAAAGGGATATGCCAAGGAGAGGTGCCTCGATCGTTCTCATATTTTTCCATATTCAATTCAAACATTGTGGTCACTTTGACCCCTAAAACGTTTTCTTTTTTTTTTTATTTTTTTTATTTTTATGTTTTTAACTTCTAAATTCGTAATACTGGAGTAGGTGATGACTTTACAGCACCATAGACAATTTCATTAGGTTTAAGTGGTTACTGGTAGTTAGTTAGGGTAGCACTTCTGCAATCTTGCATCTAAAATTATAATAAATTTCCCTATGAATTACACTAGTTAGAATATCATCTTGTCAGAAAAAAAAAAAAAAAAAAACCAAAAACTCTTTATTGATTCCAATTATTCAAATAGAGATTACAGCCATGAAAAGGTGGGGGTTTGGATAAACTCTTGTTGGAAATTACAGTGCAAATCAAGTGAAAAAAAACAGAAAATGGCGGTTTTACTTGATGAGAAAGTCGGCCACTTTTCTGGTCAAATCCTTAGCTTTTGGAGTCTCAAATTTCAAAATATGAAATGCATGATCCTCTCCTTCAACTTCAACCAGCTCAGCTTCTCCTTCCCACCCACTTTCCTTCACTGCTTCATAGTAAGCTATGCCTCTGTGTCTCAGTTCATCATTCTCAGAAACACTCACAAACAACCGCGAACACGCGAGTCCCGCCAGGCTCGGTGCGTCTGGAGCCACCGGATTGATCATCGGACAATCAACACCGCCTGGCGCTGAAGGGTATACAAAGTTCCAAACCAGACTTCCAAAGTCCTCAGGATCTTCACAAGTCTCCGATCCAATTTCCCTTGAACCGCAAAAGTAAGGGTGTGTGAGAGAGACTCCTAACACCTTCAAACCACCAGGCAAGCCCTCCTTCCCAACTTTCATGGCAATGTTATGAGCCATATTGGCTCCTGCACTATCTCCACCAAGAAAAAAACGTTCCGAATTTCCATGATTTGTCAACCAGGGCTCGTCATCAATGACGTTTTCAGCGAAATGCGAGGCGACCCATTGGAGAGCAGCCCAGCCGTCTTCATATGCAGCAGGGAGACAGTGTTCAGGAGCCATCCTATACTCGACCGACACAGCAACAACCTTGGCTTGGGAGACCAACCCGTCAAGATAGCGGTGGTGATCGGATGAGAAGGCGGACTCAACGCAGAAACCCCCACCATGGTAGTAGACCAAGACGGGGAGTTTCTGATGTGGTTCATCGAGTTTTGGAAGAAAGACTCTGGCTTTGATCAAAGGGTCTTGTGAAATGGTGATGTCTTTGGAGGAGACTCCTGTTTCGGGGTCATCGAGCAACGGGGGAACGTATTGAGAGCCTAAGAGTCGCTCGACATAGCCGTCCTTGTAGACTCGGAGAAAGGGGAGAAGCTCTGTCTCTACCTCCTTGGCAATGCAAGCCATAGTTTCAGAGAATTATGCGCACCTTTGTCGTCGTTGAAAAATATCAGATTTCTTGTTGGGGCGTGCAGCATTAGTTGCTTCTATATGTTAGTAACGTATGAGAACCCTCTCGTATCTTCTTGGTGAAGATTTCTGAATCCTCTAATCACGTTCGTTCATCGTATATCATACGGTCAGATTTCATCAAGTACTATTTCTATTCAATTTTAAATAAAAAAATTATAATAATTTTTAATCACTCGACGATGAACAAACAACTTGCTAACAATTTTAATAATTTTTTAAATAATTTTCAGCCTACCTAATTCCCTACACGAACAGAAAGTTTCCATCATTAGCTTGTAGGAGGGCACTTAATGAATCCAACGGCTGATAATTTCCATCATTAGCTTGTAGGAGGGCACTTAATGAATCCAACGGCTGATAAACTTTTGAGGTTGTTGAAGATACATTTCAGAGGTAAAACGATCAAATTAACTATAATAAAATAATAAAACCCATTTGTATTAAAATACTGTGTATTCTACCGCATCTGCCCTTTTTTTTTTCTTTATTTATTTATTTATTTATTTCATTTCTTCCTTAAAGGAGGCTGACGAAGCTGGGCTCTTCCACTTGCTTCTAGTATGTTCTTCCAATCCAACTCCAGTTTTCTTTCGTCAGTTTTTCAAGAGGCACAACGATGATTCGATTTTATATTATATATTTTTTCTTATTTTAAATATATTTTGATAATTGTCTTGATAATATTTTGATATTTTGAATTATAATTCAAATGTAGGACATACAATTTTTTTTTGAGCAAAAAGTGAACAAACGGATGAATATTGGAGTAATTCCAATTTGAGGTTGTTTGTGAGTCTTTTAACTTGTTCGTGTAAAAGTTTCAGATTTTTCTACCAAATTTATGGCTATGAAATAAAGGATCGGCACATGAAGCTGTCAAAATGATGCTTTGGGTTTATTTGAGTTATGCATATTTATATTTGATCTGAATGCCATAAAAGGATTCTATGTTTGATATAAGTTCTAACGTGAATGCCAGAAGTGGAATATGCATTAGGAAAACCTAATCTTCGAAGTTGCATGTGTAATTCTTAAGTAAATGGTAAAACTACATAAAATTGTTAAGGTGACGTCAAAACTATAATCTCTTTTTATCATTGTTTTCCAAAATCGTGTTTCTACAATTTGGTTTACTTAAAAAATTGTTTTCTTCCTTATTTATTTAACTGTTTTTATTAAATCATTTTTATTATTTAAATTACAAAATCAATCTTTTATAAGCTTTGGTTTATACAGTTTAGTGGTATTCTTCTTCACTTGTAAGTGAGATATCTTAGGTTTGATTCTCGCCAAAGGCAAATTTGAACCACATTATTACTAGCCTATTGTGAGGCTAGCCCACTCCTCCCTATGTAGATAATATCGGTTATTCCAAAAATTTAAATAAAAAAAATAAAGATTTGATTTTAACATAAATTATTTTAAATAATTTCTGTAGAGAATGATCTTACATGAGCCTTGATACTTGTTTGGACTCAATTTTACACCATCGTCCCAAGCGATCGAGGCCATTGAGTAAACATGGTTCTTAATCATCGGATAAGAAAGTTAGGATAATTTGCTATTGTTAAGAGATAATATTATGGCTCTTAATCATAATAATTATCTTTTAATAAATTATCTTAATTTTCTTATGCAAAACAAATTGTACAGATTCTTGGACATTTCATGTGGCTTAACATAGATCTGCAAGCCGAAGATAATGGTGAATAGGAAACGTATTAAGGTTAGGTGATGGATGTAGCTTGATATCTAGTCAGTTGCACAGTTCCATATTTGAATGGATATGCATGCAGAACCACGAGGAATAATGGGATAAAGGAAAATCATGGTCTTAGATAATGATGACGCAAGGAACCTAAGTAGGCTAGCCCTTTTTCTATGATGTTTTGATGATCAGATAAAGCATGGCTACTGATGGGTTTTTATAAGAAGCCTAGGTGGGCTACAAATGTGATGTGATAAGCCTAGATGGACTTTTATTAGGTTTGAAAAGCCTTGGGGCAGGTAAGAGAGATTTAATGTGACTAAAATATGGTGATGTTATTGTGACCCATTCGGTGGAATAGTCTCGGCCCAAAAATAAATAAATAAATAAAAATTTTGACATAGGCCTACGCTCGACCAACCATTAGGCCGAAGTCGAAGAGACATGCATGGCAGACATCATCATTACAGCCAATAGGCCAAGATTTGAGTTTATGGCTTTGGTACCGTGTATATATATATACATGCCAACTGCATGGCTGGCAGATCACATCAAACAATCATGCTACTTTTATAGATATGTGTATGTAGGCAGGCCGAGCTCCAGGAACGGTTTTTATCGACCTCGACCTCAATTCTTCTTGGCTTTACTTTACCCTCGACCCGTCAGCCGAGCTCGACCCCAGTTCTTTTCTGCCTTCTGCTCTACATTGCAGCTTTTCTACCATTGTAAATGGGCTGTTGAAAATAATTGGTACCCATCAAATGTTAATGCATGCATGTGCATGGAAGAGACAAACGGTGAATTAGCAGAAGGAGATCACGACATTGGCAGAACAGAGGTGACTTTGATGCCGAGGAACAAAATTTGCTTTGGCAATACGATGAAATGTCGTTCGCGACAAATGGTTAATTTCCTTAAACATTCGTCTTACGAGCCGAAGTTCAAGAAAACTGGAGGGCAATGTTTTGACTCAATTTTACACCATCGGCCCTAAGCGATCGAGGTCGTTGAGTAAGCATGGTTCTTAATCGTCGGATAAGAAAGTTAGGATAATTTGCTATTGTTAAGAGATAATATTATGGTTCTTACTCATAATAATTATCTTTTAATAAATTATCTTAATCTTCTTATGCAAAATAAATTGTACAAATTCTTGGACACTTCACGTGGCTTAACATGGATCTGCAAGCCGAAGATAATGGTGAATAGGAAACCTAATAAGGTTAGGTGATGGATGCAGCTTGATATTTAGTTAGTTGCACAGTTCCATATTTGAATGGATTTGCATGCAGAACCACGAGGAATAATAGGATAAGGGAAAATCATGGTCTTAGATAATGATAACGCAAGGAACCTAAGTAGGCTCGCCCTTTTTCTATGATGTTTTGATGATCAGATAAAGCATGGCTACTGATGGGTTTTTATGAGAAGCCTAGGTGGGCCAAAAATGTGATGTGATAAGCCTAGATGGACTTTTATTAGGTTTGAAAAGTCTTGGAACAAATCCCACGGCTCAATTTGAAGGATATGCCCTGGTTTCTGATGCGGATCAACTTCAGGTATTAGAGTTGCAATTAAACTCTGCAACATTATATGATCGTGCAAAGCAAGTACTTTAGCCTTATAAATACAGATGCAATGGCAATGGAAAAGGGACCTCCAATTCAACACACAACTACCCTGCGCAAACCTCTCAAACATCTTGAGATTTTTTATTTTCTTTTTCCACCAACACGTCTTCAGTTTGAATAAACAACACTGTGAAGGCAACCAGCGAACATTTTGAGTTTGGATAAACAAGCACTGTTACCGTAGAACCATTCAACCGCGGAACACCTTCAGTTTAGACAAACAGCACTTCGTCAAGGCTGATTGGTTATCTATCTAAGTCTCGGTCGAGAAGGATTTTCGAATCTTAATTGGCAGAGGTCATCTCATTAGCCTTCTCAGCGAAGTAAGTTGTTACAAGTTACTACATTCGGCACATTGAAAGCCGAATTTGATATTGAACTTCGTAGAACTAGCAATTTTGTCTTCAGGCTCGAGAATTCGAAGGTCGAGATGTGTTCCTTCCTCGGTTGCAATTGCAAGATCGAGAAGTCAGCAACACGCTCAACGCAACATCAACAAATTTACTCCTCGGCCGAGCTCGACTGACAAGTTGGCACGCCCCGCATCAACCGAAGGACGTAGTTAGCTCATTAATTACTCGGCCTGTACGCCATGTAGGCTTTGTAATTTTTAGAGTCAACAATACTACAACTACCTTATTTTCTTACAAATATTTTTAAGTCTTTTTATCGATACTTGTAATGCAGTAAAAATGGAAAATAATGTTCCAATTCTCCCGATTCAAAGAAAATTCTCAAAGCCATCCATCTTCCATCGTCATCCCTAAGAAAATCCCCTCCTGTGGCAATACCCACAATTCCCCTTACACTACCATCTATATTAAGTTTGACTCAACCCGAATTTAATCAGTTTCATGCAATGAAGTTCTGCGTTTTTGTGGGCTTCATGAATTCCACTTTGAGCTTTCTTCTCTAACTGGCTTTGATTTCAAGGTAAGTCTTTTCTCTAGAATTTTGTTTGGGATTATCTCTTTTTCTCTTTGTTCTGCTCAATCTCTATGACCTCTGATCGAATCTGTTTTGTTAATCATCATCGAAAGATGACCTATGAGCTTTCTCGACCAAAGAATCGTTGGTTTAGGGTTGTAGGTTTATTGATTTTTTTCGTGCTCTTTCTTCTTCCTTAACCTTGCCGCCGTCGGCTATCTCTTTCAAGCCATCGCCACTATGATCTTCAAAACCAGGAACGTCTCCTTCCCAACTTAATTTTATTTCCGAGTTTGAAAAAAGAAAAAAAAAAAAATCCAAGTCCCAAGATTGTAATTAACAATAAAATACGTACATGCAACTTTCCCTTTTGTTTTATATATTCGTCTCCGACGCTGGATGTTGTTTGATAAGGTGGATTCTCCCTTCTTTTTTATTTGTGCCACTTAACTCATTGTTTTCTTTCCTTCCTTCTTCTTCTTTTTTTTTTTTTTTTTTTTTTTTTTTTTTTGGTGAGATTTGACTTCCATTTTTTGTTTTTTTAATTACTAGAAGCTAATGCATTTACTCGGTGTCAAAAAAAAAAAATGGAGATTAGTGTGAGGTCCACACCACATCGAATTTTAACAATCCAACCATCTTTATGGATGCAAATTTCCGCCGTCTTCTCCTTTGACAAAAATGAACCTGCAAAATAATAACACCTAAGACTTAGGCAAAAAATCTCACGC